TAAGTTAAAGGAACTATTAAGAGATGGGTATCAATCGAAATGTGTATGAAACGGGTTTATTTCTTAACTACATGTAGAAGGTTGCCATCTGTTCAAAAAATCAAATTCCATTTGAATTAAAAGAATTAGGTAATTAAAATAGCTAGGTATCACCATATGGGAGTAAGACGAAAGAAGTTTAAGAAGGTTTAAGCTTTCAAATATTACGAAAAGGGTTGCCACCTCTTTGGAAAGTCAAATTTAGTTAAATTAGAATAATATTTGTGTCAAACCAAAGGTCTGTGACATCGTATTTATTATTTTATTACAAATGCATGCATACATTGTCAATCAGTGATTTGTTCTGATTACATTCCTTTTAAATGTTTTTTCTCTTCACTTCTTTATTTCTAAATATGTCCCACTTTTCTTTCGTGCGATACCCATATTGATGTTNTTGTTCTGATTACATTCCTTTTAAATGTTTTTTCTCTTCACTTCTTTATTGCTAAATACGTCCCACTTTTCTTTCGTGCGATACCCATATTGATGTTCATATTTCAGTTACCTTATTCACTTAATTAAAGTGAATTTGATTTTTTAAACATGTGGCAACCCTTCTACGTGTCCTTTATACCCATATTGTATTTAATATCTAATTCATTTAACTTATTCAATAATTTTAATAAAATTTGTAACAGGTGGCAGCCCGTTTCAAAAAATAAAACTTTATTGCACATCTACAGCCCGAACTCTGTCATTTGACACCTCCATTTTTAAAATAGAACGAACTATATATACATACCTATGTAAATGCCACAAGAACCCAAATTTTCAACTGCATTTACAGTGAAAGTAAAAAAGTTATCCAAAAACAAATTGCATTTTTGAATTTAGCTAAGAAGTGAATTTTCATCTAAATCCGTCCATATTTCTATTTGTATCCACATTTTATATGGAAGGGAAGCAGTGTGATCCGGGGCATTGATCCTCTTCAATTTGCTCAGTAACTTCTTTGAAATAACTTCATATGCCACAATAAAATCCTGNGAACTCTGTCATTTGACACCTCCATTTTTAAAATAGAACGAACTATATATGTATACCTATGTAAATGCCACAAGAACCCAAATTTTCAACTGCATTTACAGTGAAAGTAAAAAAGTTATCCAAAAACAAATTTTTGAATTTAGCTAAGAAGTGAATTTTCATCTAAATCCGTCCATATTTCTATTTTTATCCACATTTTATATGGAAGGGAAGTAGTGTGATCCGGGGCATTGATCCTCTTCAATTTGCTCAGTAACTTCTTTGAAATAACTTCATATGCCAAAATAAAATCCTACTTCTCCTAGACAATAGTCTAAGTAAAACGATAGCAACTGTTCAGTAGTGATCTGTCATCTGTTCCTTAGTAAAGAACTTAAACTTGGCATAAATTACTTGTTTATATGATGCCATCACAAGCGTTAATGAACCTAGCTGACTAAAGCACAAGTATTACATATTTAGCGTTGAATCAGCGTCGGTNCTAGCTGACTAAAGCACAAGTATTACATATTTAGCGTTGAATCAGCGTCGTTGGTATTAGATAAGCTCTGCCAAACCGCCACTCAGCGATTTTTTTTTAACTTCCCTCGTAGCAAAACCACGTATTTGAGTAAACAAATTGGCATTATGTTCGCCATTATCTCCTCAGTTCGCTTTGATTTGGTTCAGCTTCCTTTAGCCCCACCTCAAAGCGGTATAATCTCCAATAACGTTTTAGTATTTGCGATGCGGTTTAATTGAGATGCGTTGTGTGTATTTATGTGCGTGTGTGGGTGTGTATGTGTGGGTACATTACGGCATCAACTACAATCAGAGTTACTAGTAATTAATGGCCGNATAACTTCATATGCCAAAATAAAATCCTGCTTCTCCTAGACAATAGTCTAAGTAAAACGATAGCAACTGTTCAGTAGTGATCTGTCATCTGTTCCTTAGTAAAGAACTTAAACTTGGCATAAATTACTTGTTTATATGATGCCATCACAAGCGTTAATGAACCTAGCTGACTAAAGCACAAGTATTACATATTTAGCGTTGAATCAGCGTCGGTGGTATTAGATAAGCTCTGCCAAACCGCCACTCAGCTCTTATTTTTTTTTTAACTTCCCTCGTAGCAAAACCACGTATTTGAGTAAACAAATTGGCATTATGTTCGCCATTATCTCCTCAGTTCGCTTTGATTTGGTTCAGCTTCCTTTAGCCCCACCTCAACGCGGTATAATCTCCAATAACGTTTTAGTATTTGCGATGCGGTTTAATTGAGATGCGTTGTGTGTATTTATGTGCGCGCATTAGTGGGTGTGTATGTGTGGGTACATTACGGCATCAACTACAATCAGAGTTACTAGTAATTAATGGCCGAAATCCACTGTTAAATGACAGCTTTGTGATAAAACTGAATTAGTGGTCAAATTACATATTTATAGTCGATCTAAAATGCGTACAATGTATATAATACATACATAATGAATGAAAATGCATGCCTTTGTAGGTTTATTTTGAAATGCTTAGGGCCGTTTTCTCAAGTCACCGGTAACTTTAAGGCTCACTTTATATTTAAAGGTTGCATTAAAATTTATGATTGTGTCTAAAGTAAAGCATTTTATTAACGGGTTTAATTTAGTTTACAACGAAGAAACATACACACGTCAAAAACCGATAATAGAAATGCTTAACTTTAGACATAGCTTTATTTTTAATCCGACCTTTAAGTATAAAGTGAGCTTTAAATTAAAGGTTACATGAGAAAACGGCCCTTAGTTGAGTAATTTGTTGCCCAGATTAACAATCGTCTTTTGTAATTTATTTTGCTTTATTTCACTATCGGCATTTTATTTGCAGATTTTTTGTTTGTTTGCTTTTCTTCGTCTTTTTCCACTCACTCTTTTGTCACAAGAAATTGCACTGGATTTTCATTGATGACAAGCTTTTGTATGGGCATTAATACACACATACCTACATACATATGTATAGTATACACAAAAAACAAATAGCCAGTGTTGCATAAAATTAATTGTATTCGGTCGAGCGATCAGATGAGTATGCGAATTTGGTAGGCACATAAAAACGCAATGTTGAATAACATCAAGAACTTAATTACAACAAATGAGTTTGCTATTTTCCGAAGCTTATGTGTACATATATATATGTTTATAGATTTTTAATATATATAGTATATGTATAACAGATAGTTTAAGAAACAAAAAAAAATTTGAAATAATTTAAGTGTTAGAGGTTAGGTTGGATAAGTAGCTGCGAGTGGGCACACCACCAGCACACTTAGACCAAACAACGCATGCAGAATACCCACACAGATTACATGCCGCTCATTGTAAGGTTTTCGTGTTCCCTTTTAAGCTAGCACTAAGACAGGGTACCCAAAATAAATTATAGCACCAATTTTGTGAGATATATCTTCCCTCTTCAAAGAGAATAAGCTTCGAGAGCTTTTTCGATCCCACCTAGGTCAGGTTTGCCTAGAAATTCGACAGACCGTAGTTTGCATCCATCTCTGGCTCTCGCGAACATAGATAAATTCTCTTCAAATCAGCTTGCAAGTGGCGAAGGGCATACCAATGCGTTGTTAGCACGGAATAATTTGCTTGGGGGGTGTCCCCGCCTCCTCGCAAGTTCGTCCGCCATACAATTACCCTCTATAACCCTATGACCGGGAATCCAAAGAAGTTTAAACTGTTCTGCTTAACCATCACGGCAGATCGGCAGCAGTCCAGCACAATTGTTGATTTAATTGTGAACTCAAAGCTTTAATTGCTGTTTGGCTGTCACTAAAGATGAGCACCTCTTTACCTTTCAAATCAGTACGAAGTCACGACACAATCCTCGAGAGAGTGGGGTGGAGTACAGCAACTGTGACTATCAGGTCACGGAAATTGACTTCAATCGAAATTTCGAGATCCATTTTCCTGACAAAAGTGACTGGGAATTTAATATTGCTCACAGCGATGGCGAACTAGCCATCTTCACGGACGGCTCCAAAATGAATATCGAAACAGGATCTGGTGTCTTCTCTCAGAAGTTATCTCTGAGAGAGTCTTATAGACTCCCAGATCACTGCAGTATTTTTCAGGCTGAGATATATGCAATCCATATGGCGGCAAGGTTGGTGGGCATGATTGACCAAGCTCCATCAGGCGGCTACCAAAGCCATAGGGTCGGCAACGACTAACTCGATATGCGGAAGATCCTTACAAGCTCCACAGCAACACATAATCAATCTTTACTGGGTCCCGGAGCATTGTGGTGTCCCGGGAAATGAGGAAGCGGACGAATGTGCTCGGAAGGGATCTGCGATGGGGCTCGGGGAAGCAATCGAGATCGTGAAACCCCCCTCAGAAGTCGTGAGACTGACTAGGACAGTGTGTGGGAAAATCTGCACACCTGCAGAGTATCGCGATCGCTCTGGCCACGGCTTAGTGGACGAAAAACAAGGAGTATATCATGGCTTTCAAAGTCAAACGTTGGTCACATGGCCAGGTTCGGACGATTTCTGTCGAAACTGCAGGGATGAGTGGGAGTTAGAATCTGTCCAGCAATTCCTTTGCGAGTGTCCAGCACAGGGATATCTTGAGGAAAGCTTCTGTGGAAAGACTGCTAGGATTCGCCAGAAAATCAAATAGGCTTGGGGTAACCCCCCCATGAGCATCACAATGGGCCTTCGCGGCCTCCGAGTAAACTCTTTGCAGAGCTGCCCGTTTAACCTAACCTTAACCTAACCTATTTAAGCTCTTCACTGCAGTTAAGCCTTTGGTGGAAATAGGCTATTACCCCTAAGAATTTTGATTTATTCGTAAAGCTTAAGAGTCACCAGTTTAGTTCAGGCGGAGCCAGTAGCGGTGTCTTAAACTTCCTCGCAACGCGTGGACCATAGTGATACATCGCGAAGTTCCCTCTGCATCGATGCGCTACTATACAAATAATAAAACAAAAATTTTTGTGTAGCTTTTATACATATATATTTCTGTGGAAATTCATTTTAAACTCTATACTTAGATATCTAATTAGCTTTGCTTTTCTTTCTTATTTCGTACATCACCTCTTCCCACAATCGCCTTCAATAGCTTGCAGCTCACCCACGCAACAACCAGTAAGGCCAAAAGTGGCCCGCCAAACAGCACAGCAATGACATCCAAATTATGATATTCAATAAAATTCAAATTTCGCGCTGCTACACGCATATGCGGTGCGCCCTTATGCCGCAATACATACTCTGTCCAATAAATTGCCTTCTTCACTGGTGTCTCTGGTTGATCGTGATAGAGCTGTGAGATTTCTTGCGCGCGTTTTGAATATTTTGGATTTTCCAGCACCTCCACTATAGCGCTTTTGAGTTGGTTAGCAGTGAAGCTCCTGAAATGGATGCTCACACCAAAACCTTTCTGCTGCGCACGCGCAACATTCAGATGTTGGTCATAGAAAACAGGCATACCCACCACCGGCTTGGCATGATGTATAGCCTCAATTGTGCTCAGCAGTCCACCATGTGTTATAAAGAGCTTTACCTTAGGGTGCGCTAATACATCAGATTGTGGAAACCATTTACTGATAAATACATTCGTGGGTTTTCCAGGTAATTCTGGATCTTCGAATTTCCAAAGTATGTTGTATTGCTTTAACGAGGCGAAAACTTCCATTAGTATAGCGCGCCTTTTTGCAGACAAATTTCTACTGCGTATATTTGTGCCTAACGAGAAGTAGATTACCCCCTTTGGGGCGGCATTTATAAATTCTGCCATATCGGCTGGTAATTTACTTGGCTTGTGATCTATGTGCCAGCCGCCAACTTCGATAGCATTCGGCACATAAGGACGTGGTAGGCTCATTGAGAAATGTTGATTCAGCAACACAAGTGAGAAGTTCTTACGCATTTCCATAAATGGCGCCGTTGGGGTGGGTACGTATTTTTTGTACAGCTCATATTGCGCAGGCAACATTACGAAACGATTATGTATCCACTCCAGAACATGAATGTAGAAATTTTCTAAACGCTCGCGAAAATTCATATGATCTGTTAAATGGCTAGTTGTTGAGGGTATATAGGAGAGTGGTGAGGTGTTGCCAACCAATTCGTCGATACGCATATCGGTGCCGAAGCTGGAAACGCCAATAAGCAAAGCCTTGAAATGGTATGCCAGTGCATAGAGCGCTTCCTGCTGCAGAACCTCAACAATAAGTAAATCGAAGGTCACACCATGCTTAAGCCATTTTTGCAACACTGGATGTTCTAGAACTTTTCGTGTAGATGGTGTAAGGTAATCGATGGCAAAATTAAGTTCTTCCCATTTGCTGAGTGTCAGTACTTCGGAGTCAACGATGTATTCTGAAAATAAATAAAAGCATTGCCATTTACTTTATACAAAATTTGTATACTTTGATCAGGAATACTTTAGAAGCCTTAAAAGCAGCAAATGCAATGAACTAACTCTACGTGAAGTGATCAGTTTTATGGAGAGCGCTCATAACTATGTACGATTCTTCTAGCAGTGTTACCAATTTTCTTTATTTATTTATTTGGTTATTTATTCTAAATCAATAACCAATAGTAAGCACTATTAAAGAATAATTAACAAAAAGAAGTACTGGGCAATTCTGGCACTCTCTTTCAACTCACCACAGTCTTAGGTAAGACAACTGTCAGTTCTAGAAGCTATCTTGAAAGCTCTGTACTGTCTTTCGTAAGACAACTGTGAGTTCTGGCAGCAATCTTGAAAGCTCTTTACTGTCTTTCGAAAGACTAATTGAAAGCTATGCTAACGCGAAGGTTTTAGGGTTATTCTGTTTGTCTTTTAGCTAAAAGATTTTAGAAACTATTTAAAAAAATATTTTTTTTTTTCTTTGTAAAACAAAAAAAAACTAGAAACTAAAAACGAAATTAAACAAAAAAAATTATAGAACCAAAAATATATTTAAAAAAAAACTTAAAAATTAAAAGGAAACCAAAAAATATACATTTCTTTTTAAAATAACACCGAAAATTTAAAAGAAAATTAAATTTTAAAACAAAAATATTCTTTTTAAAACAACAAAATCACAAAATTTAACGAAAATGAAGTTAAACAAAAGAAAAAATTATATACATGAAGCTAGAAAAATACTTTTCTCTTTAATTAAAAATCTAAAAATAAAAAGAAAATGTAATTAAAAAAAAAATAATTAAAGGAAAAAATAAAGTAAGCTCCTAAAAATTCAATGAACTTTAAGAAGTCTTTTTCCTTTTTAGAACTATAAAATCTAATAAAAAAGTTTTAAGAAGAAAAAATTTCAATTCAAAATAAAAAAATAAAATACGTTTGTAAAAGTTTAATGGAAAAAAATGTTACTTTCTAAACTAACATCTTAAAATCAAAAAAAAAAGTTATAATAAAAAAAGAAACAAACATTAAAAAAAATACTTTCCCAAAAATTAAATGAAATTAAAAGCAAATATCTTTTTGCTGTTTATGTAAATTGTGTTTCAATTTTAAAATAATGGAAATTAAATAGAGGAAAATTAACCCCCAAAAAAAACACGAAAAAGCATTGTCCCTATTCAAGTGCATGGGAGTGTACGTTTTCAGGAGAGATCGTTTTTATTTTACTAAATATGTATTTCAAAATTGCTGGGAAGTCTGGATCTGCCCGCATTGGTTAACATTTTGACGAATTCAATATAAATTTCCTATTTTCTGAACATATTTGCATGGATGCATGTACATTAGGGTGGTCCAAAAAAAACAAGTGTATAGAATTTTTGAAAATCAATCTTTTTCGCTCGGAAGACTCAGGTTCTCTTCAGGAGACCCTCAATAGTAATACCCAGTTATTTATTTAACAATTTTTTTTGCTATGGGAGCATAAATACAAAATTTTTATTATTAAAAAATGGTTAAATAAAGAATTGGATAATGTTATTGGAAGTCTCCTGAAGAGAACCATAGTTTTCCGATCGAAAAAATAATACTGATTTTTAAGAATTCTCTACCATTTCTATGAAAAGTTGTTTTGTCCCATATACAAATATTTTTTTATTTCAAAAAAAAACGGGGTAAATTTTTTTCGATGTAGAACAATCCTAGGGGGTGAGAGCATTAAAATTTCGAATTTACTTATTTTGGACCACCCTAATGTACATACATTGCATTTGAGTTCAGAAAAAAACACCAAAAAGGCACTAGGCACTAAACCCTTATTTTTTTTGGCCTTTTAATTTTCACATAGCACTATATCTAGCGCTTAAAATAGCACTCTCTGATATACATACATACATACATACTACTCACCTTCAAAGAGATAATTTTCGTAAATA